CCTCGTGTTTGCGACACGGAAACTCCCCGGTCGTTCCTGCTGGGCTGGAGGCTTTACTGCGCCAGCGGCAGTGCCTGCGCCTGTTCACTGATGGTTCTTGCTCCTGCCCCCATTTGCCTGAAGCGAGCCGCGCCGCATGGGCCGTGGTCATGGACGCCTCAGAAAGTGATGCCGAGATTCCGACCCTCCTCCAACAGTGGCGCCTGCATAGACGTTTGCCCACCAGTTTCCACGTGGTTGACCAGGGCCTGGTTCCGGGTGTGCAGAGCATCAACAGGGCGGAGACCATTGCAAATACTACAAGCTGCCCGGCTCGCGAGTTCGCCTGGAGCCCAGTCCGCTGAAATCTGGACCGACAGTACCTTTGCCATGTCGGAGTGGCAGCGTGCTCTTGCTGGATCTACTGCCACGTGGCCTGACTTGGGTGAAGAGCTGCAACAGGTTGCTTCGGTGCGCATCACTGTCCACAAGGTTTCGTCCCACCAAAACCTTGATGAACTGTGGGGACTGGAGCAATGGCTAGCCGCTGGTAACCACGTCGTGGACACAGCGGCCAAAGCAGCACTTCAAAGGGAATTCCCATTGATTCAAGCAATCACAGGGAACGCAGCGGGCTTCTTTGCCGAACAGCGGGACCATCTTTGGCTATTCTGGCGCTATCTACTGCAGGTCTCCCAGGAAGAATGCCGATTGATACGCCAGCTTGCAAAAGAAGTTAAGGCGCATGGTGCCCCTGCACAGGATGACAATCATGACGTCCCGCGACTACCTTGCTTGTCAGCGTGGGAGAAGCAAGATGCTGGCCCCTTTCAGACCTGGCAAGTTCCGGTGGCCTCCAGAGAATGGCTATTGGCCTGCTCCTGGCCACCATGGTTCACCGTGCCTCTCTGGGACTGGCTTTCTGGTCTCCAGTGGTCCCTGCAGCCGCTGCGTAAGAAGGCGGTGACAGGCGCTACATACCTGGAACTGGTGGTGGATTTCGTTGCCTCAACAAAGGTTTGCCCACCACACGAGCTTGCAGCAGCTCGTGCGCTGGACAAGCCCCCCAAGCGAGTGGACGTCCCGTGTACATTGCGGCAGGTCGTGTTTTCTTAGCTGCCCAGTACCCTGCCCGAAAAAAGTTTAAACTTTTTCTTTTAGTAGGGGTTTAATATAACCAAAAAGTTTAAAGTTTACCTATTGGGCTGCTAAGTTTTGCTTTGTGGAGGCCGTGAGACAACTGGACCCGCCTTCTTCCGGCACGACGTGGCAAGGTCTTCTCGTTACGTTCACTGCAAGAGGGACCACCCAGAATTGGCGTGAGCATCCGACCAAGGTTGCCCACTGTACAGGCCACGGGACCATTATTAGTACAAGTGCTCCAAGACCACAGCACGTTGCCTTTGTTCGCTACCGTACAGGACTGCGAGATACCGTCGTCCGAACTGCAACGTTGTTGGCGTAGCTTTACTGATGCTGAGCGGAGTCACTTAGGACGAGCCTTGCGCAGAAGCCGCAAGACGGGACGCTGAAGCACGTGGACTCACGGAAGGGGTGTTGCCGCTTACGCTGGTGCACTCTCTCCCTCATACCCAGTTAAAAGTTTAGGGTTTAGGGGGTTTAGGGTTTAGAGTTAGAGTTAGGGTTTAGGGTTGTGGGGGTTTAGGGATTAGAGTTAGAGTTAGGGCTTAGGGTTTAGGGTTTGGGGCGTTTAGGGTTCTGGGGGTTTAGGGTTTAGAGTTAGAATTCCCTCAAACCCTACTGTTGATGATATATATATATATGTGTATATATATATATATCTATCCTGCATCACCTTAAGGACCCTAAACTGGGGGAAAAATGTGGGAAATATCCCTTAGCAAGGGTAAAATGCAGGATCTTGAACCCCAAACCCCAGCGCAACCCTAGACTCGAATCCAAGCACCGAGAGCTGGACGGTGGAGTTTCTGCGTCGCTTCCAACACAGACCGCCTGGGGAACCGTCGCTTTCGTGTAAACCCCCGCTTGCATTGAGTCATGTAGGGGCCTTAGTACTTAGAATGGGTGTTTTGGGGGGTTCCTTTTTATGATTATGGTATAATATAGCCCCCCAAACCCTATTCTAATTATTCAGGCCCCTATATAATTCTTTTCCCTGTCATCAACAATGGGACCATTGAAAGTACTTCTGTTGGTAGCATGTATAATGATCACTACTACTCTTCTTTCATCTGTCATGACGCTCATCGTCCTACAGCCGTAGACTCCTGGCTCATATACGGTAGCCTTCCTTCACCTTATCTAAATGGGGGTTTCCGAAAATAGGGGACCCCAATATAGTACCCTAAATAGTAGGATCCTTATTAGAAGGACCCCCAAACAAGGTACCCCTAATTTCGGAAACTCCCAAATGACCTCGGGGAGACTCACCGCTTCAATGTAGGGCTTCACGGTATGGTTTCGCTCTGCAAGATCTTCCCAGAGAGCGCAATACCCTTTAATCAAGGAGTATAGCTGAAACCATGGTATTAAGGCCCCTGTAATTTAAGGCAGATGCCTTAATTAAGGGGCATTAAGCTCTTTGGGTTTAAGATGGGAACAACAATGAGTCGAATAGGGTTTCATGGCATAGGCTGAAACTGTAAGCACTGTAAGCATGTTTCGGTGGTGACAACAAAGAACACCACTGCCAAGCATAAGGGTTCCAAAGAGCACACTTCGGCTGTGACACACAAGACTTCAGGAATCCGACTTAAAGTGGCCGTGATAGCCCCAAAATGCCACATGGATGTCTGAATACTTTGTGCTTGTATTCCCTTTTAGTCCCGATTATAGCTGTGCAGCAGCTAGTAAAGTCTGCCAAACACCTCTTACTAAGGCGCGTTTTTTCAGGATCCTTCTTCTTGCCGCGGTTTTTCGGAGACTCGAAAAACTCTGAGTTCAGGCATGTTCCTTGGGTACGCAGAGGATATACTGGGATCCATGGAAAAGGCACAATTAGAGGCCAACAGGGCTATGCTAATTATGATAGATCTCAAAAGAGTGCAAGAGCGTAGCTACTTGGAGCTTCATGTGTAGTTATAAGTGAGGTTATAATATGTTCTGATAAATAGGAAGGCAGATAGAATCATAACCCATACTAATTAGCAGACTTATAACCCCGCCGATAACTACCCGCGAACCTCTAAGTAGCCATCAAGTGCGACACAGCCAAGAACCATACCTACTGCGAGGCACTCAACTCCACAAGGATGGTTTTCGTCGGTGGGCGCATGACCCCATAACGCCCCCATGAGAAAAGACCATGAAGCCCGTTAAAGAACCCATGCAAAGCCTACGAATCCCTGCAAAAGACTACATGAAACCCTAAACCCTAAACCCCAAAACCCTAAAACTCTACACCCTGAAACCCCTAAACCCCTTAAGCCCTAAACCCTTATAAGTACCCTTATAGAGCCCCTCAAAGGAACCCTTATAACCCCATTTAGGGGAACCCTTTACAAACGACACCCGAGCCAGGCCTGTCCGCCTGGCAGCGGCACTGCGGAGATTGGAGCCTTCCCGGGGGCCCAGCTGACGGAACCCTCTAAAGGGGTTTAGGGTTTAGGGTGGTTTAGGGTTTAGGGTGGTTTAGGGTGGTTTAGGGTTTAGGGTTTAGGGACTGAACATGACTGAACCCTCGAAAGGGATCTATAGGGGTTCCTATAGGACATCTATGAGTCTATAAGGGTACTATAAGGGTTCCTTTAAAGGGATTTATAGGGTTTAGGACAGTTGTCTGACTGGTTCTTAGTAGGGAATGGAGGCATGGGTTTTGGGGACTACTATAGGGGACCTTAAGCGGCTAGCATAGAGATCCATTCCCCCATTCCTTACTAAGAACCAGGGAGACAGCGGGTGCCACTGCTGCGACGACGACGAGGACGACAACAACAACTGCTTCTTCCCGGGGTGTAGGGTTTAGGGGCTTAGGGTTTAAGGGTTCAGGGGTTTAGGGTTTTAGGGTTTAGGAGCTACACTGGAACCACTAGTACAGAAATACTTCTACTACTACTCCTGCTCCTATTACATTCTCTTACCTTGTGGGACTAACAACACCACAAGTTCAACTGCAACCACAATCCAAAGTACTTTCAGTAGTATCCTTAGCCTGAGCAAGAGTAGTCAGTGGTGGTGATAGTCGTGGCGCATGCAGTGCTAGTACTGGTCGTCGTAGTGTTTGATAGACGTAGAGTATGTAGTAAGTCGTTGAAGTGGCTCTGTCTGAACCCCTTTGTGCTCCTCCATCACAGCGCGCCCACGCAACGAGGTACGTCGGAGGATGCGCGGACAGAGTTTCTGTCGGGCTGGCTACTGTTGATGATATCAATCCTGCATTACCTTATTAGGGACCCTAAGCTATGGGAATTATGGTATAGTCCTTAATATGGGTATTGAAGGAAATAAAATCATCAACCGTAGGGTTTAGTCTTCAAGCCTTAGGGCTATCCGGGCTAACCATCACTCCTTAGATTCCCGACACTCTGCATTGCTGGGTTCTTCTTAAGGGATTTATCTAATTTAATTTTACCATCATAGGGATCTAAGATCTTTCGCAAAAAACATGGTCTCTCTATAAGGGTAACTTGAATAAAAACCCCCTAGCAAGCACCCAGATTGAGGCTTGTGGTGGGTTCAATCATTGGATCTGACTGGGTCTCGCGGGCTTGCTTTTGCTGTCAGTTTCCTTCCTGTCACCAAAAACCCCAAACCCTAAACCCTCGAACATCGCAGGTACTATTCTTGCCGCGTAAGTTGCTATAAACCAGTTTGGCAGCTGTTCTGTGTTCAGGCTTCGATGCTTGGAAGCATTGAGCTCTAAAAGGGCCTAAGGTTCATTCTGCCATTTGGAAATTCATACTACAACGGTATAGGGCTTCTATCTTGCCTGTTCCGAGTGTTGAGATTGGCTTAAGTGACGACGGTTTTGTGAGAATCAGATTTTGCGGCTGGTGGTTGAACATAAGCTCTACGGTCTCGTTGCGTGAGGCTCACGGTGGCGGAGAAACCAGATCAGTTCAAAGCACAACATGAGAACACCAGCCCGGCACAGAATTTCAATCAATAGCACGGTCTCAGGCGCAGTTTCGGGGCTTTGACTTTGTGGTAGTGATGGTAGGAAAAGAAACTCAGACTTGGGTAGTTGCACTAAATCCTGCGCCCTAACTCTAACTGCTTGTCCCGGAGCCCCAGACCCTAAATACCATTCCGAATCCTTAAAACCTCTAACTTCACGAAGAAAAACCTGGTTGTCGCACCTCAAGACAAATAGCACGAGCCAGCTTTAAAACAAATTGGGACATCAAGCAGAATCCCATAACCCTAAACGGGTTCCCTGTTGGGGTTATATAAAAAGTGATCATTGTTAATCCTTATTGGGTTTTCTTATAACAAAGATGTGAAAACTGTAGCAAACAAGGACCCAGTAACCCTAAGCCGGAAAGCCAAAAACCCCCGACCGAAGTCCTTTTTGTGCCCGGCACGGCATAATGTCCACGTCTTAAACGTGTAGCTGTCAGACAAGGAAGGCTGAGGATTTAGGTGCTTAGGGTTGAGGCTTTTTGGGTTTGGGGTTTTGGGTTTGGGCTTTTGAGTTTCGGCTTGTGGGTTAAGGGTTTAGGGGCTTTTGGGCTTTGGGTTTCGGGTTTAGGAGCTTGATGTTCAGCCTTTGCCGGTTTTACGGGCTTCAGGGGAGGGTTCAGGCCTTGGACAATGGATATCAGGTTGTCTTCCTGGGAAAACCTGCGGAATCCTACGGTTAACTCCAGAAAGTTGGAATATGGACTAAAATTTGAATCCTGGATCCTGCTTAAGGAATCGTAAGGATGGTGATGTTCCAACTTTCTGGCTTACTGTAGGAGAGTGCCAGCCGCGCTCCCGGTCTCCGCAGTGACGGACGCGGATGATGTTCTGCCGAGCCATCAAGCAATTCGTTCAAGCTTGAGGCAATCTCCAGTTCCAGCATGGCTTAATAGTTAGGGGCCTTCGTGAGTGGAACTACTGGTTCCCTGTTGAGACCATATTAAAAGAGATCATTTTTTTCATCCTGACTAGGGCTTCATTATAACAAAAACTGGGTTCTTGCAAAGGGATTT